CCTTTAAGAGATATGTGATTAGAGAATTTTTCTTTTGTAATTTTAACTAAGATCACTTATTTGCTGTATTGAATTACTTTAGTAACAATTTGATTCTAAATTTATTGACGGTTATCGAATATGGATAATGCTTACCCGTTACCCGACCTATAGCAAAAAAATTTATTTGTTATCTACTCTCTACCTGCATAGATACTGATTTAAAAAATACTGATGAATATTTTAAAACCTGCAAATACACGTGGATATCCACGAATATTTTTTTAAAAATATTTTATAAATTTAAATAAAATTACAAAAAATAAATAATAATCAAGGATGTAAAATTTAAATAAAATAAAAAATGAAAAAATAATTGTAAAAATAAATAACTTTTATAATTATTACAAGTAATATTTTTATTTGATTATCAGTATTTCGAAAAGTAATTACTAAAATAATAAAATCGAAAAAATAATTTTTTATTATAAATAATTATTTGAATTCAAAAAAATTAAAATTAAAAAACAAAATTGTATATAGAAAAGTTAAAATTAAAAACAAAATTGTGTATAGAATATATTTTTTATTAATAGTATAGATAAAATTCAACTTTTAAGATTCAAATAGTGTCTATCAACTCGAGTTTACCTCGGACACTTTTACTGTTATTAAGATCTAACTGTAGTAATAAAATTAGTTCATCTGAAAATAATGAAATCTTAGTTGAAATGTTTTAAAAGAGAATTATGAAAAAGTTATAAACACATTTACAACATGAAATATTTTATGTATTTCCCTATCACGCCAAGTAGCTTCTTTACGTCAAAACTAAACACGAGAAAAATATCATCCGATTTGAAAATTATCGGCACCAGAAAAAATATAACCCACTTGAACTCAACTTGTTCATACGCCGGACCTTCTAGACTCTTCCTTCAAACACGGTCTTTTTCCAATGATACCCTAAGAAACTCGTGCACGGCTTTTTAATTATAAACAAAGGGAAAATTAATCAAAAGAAAATCAAAAGAAAGGAAGAAGGAGAATGAAAATGCAATAAAAATGCAAACTTGGTATTTGAATAAGAATGTTTTAACGTTTAAGAAGACGATGAGGCCAAGGAAAGTTTGGTGGTTTAAGAAACAATAATTTTTAGCAAGTTAAGAAAAAAATAATAATAGATGAAGTGGGAAAGTTGGAGTTTGGGATAAAGAAATAAGATAATTGAGAAAACCAAGTCTCAAGGACAGTTGCAAGTTGAGGATCCACTTGCATACCCATTGCCTCCTACAATTCAATACTACCATATATCTATCTATTCTCTTTCTTTCTTTGTCACTTTCCCTCTCTTACACCAAAAACAACCATCAAAAGATAAAGGTAACCCCCTTTCTCTTTCTCTTTCTCTAACCACTCCAATTTCATTATTATGGTGTCATTATTGTTAACAAGATCATCATTTCTCATCTAATTCTAACATTATTTTTACTAAGTATGTCATTAATTTTCTTTTAATGTACACATAGTCTATGTGATTAGGAGTTTTAAATATTTAGGAAGATTAATGATTTAAGAAAAGAAACAAAAAGTACTCCAACTTGAACTAATATTAATTAACTTGAAACCTCACAAAGTAAGACTAGTCTCTCGTCTTCCTACATCTTTCAAATATATATATATATATATNTGATTATTTTTGTAATATTAAAATTTAATTATAAATATATAAAAAAATTATTTTTATAATTTAAATGTGGATAGTTTTTACTTATTTTATAAATTATTTAAAAATGATTAAATTTTAAAAAAATTATAAATAAAAAACCGTTAAATTTTAAAAACGGTCACATAAAAGGTAAAATTGAAAAAAATGTTAACACAAAAAAGATAAATCATCTTTATATAATAGTATATGTAATTATAAAACTATATTTAAATAATTTTTAAAATTTTATTATAGGTAATTTTTTTAGATAATTTTTTTATAAATAGTTATTTTAGTTTAAAAAATAGTTAAATTTTAGGGGGGAAACATTAGAATGAAAAAATGGTTAATTGTTTTTAAAAAAAGTAATAATAAAATTGATAAAATAATTATTTTGATTTAAAAAATACTTAAAAATTAAAATTTGAAATAAAATGTGTACTTCAAAAAAGACAATCATCTTTATATAATGGTATAAAGTGTAAATAAAATATTTTTCTTGCACCAAATATGAAAATTATCTAAATATTAAATAATTTTTAATAATTTCAAATATTAATATTGATAATTTTTTAATCAATTTTAAGATATTATTATTTTTTATTAAAGTTTGTAAGAAAAAAATGGTAGTTAATATTAACAAAACTTTCTTTTAATAGAGTAATTATTTTTATACAATATGGAACGTCCTGTTAATTAGTGTTTTTTCAATCAGGTAATCGGTCCATCAAATCCAAATTTATTATCTTAATCGAAAAACCCTAATGGTTAGGTAGGTAATAGTCTCGATTAAGTAATAATTAAGATTACATGGATTTTAACTGTAATTAAACTAGTTCTAATCAAAAGTGCATTAAGAATAATATAAATAGAGGTCTAAATACCCTTGATAAGCATAGATGAATTGGAAATGATTTGGAATTAGGATTTTGGATGACCACTCTGCTTAAAATGACCGATCAATCCTACACATAGAAACATTTTTGTGTATAGTATGGATCGTCCGGTCAAGGACTAGATCAGTCAACCAAGTAATCAGTCAATTAAACTCAAACTTGCTATTATAATAACAAAAAAACAAATGGTTACCCTTGCGACATAAGGCATGCAACTAATTATGATTAAGCCATCAAGTTTAAATGAATTTAGATCATAATTAGACCGGCACTAATCAAAAATTTATTACAAAAACTATAAATAAGGGTCCAAAAAGTTGTAACATCCTCTATTTTCATATTAGGTACTAATCATATTTAAAGTTTGTAGTTAAATTTTTAATATAAAACAAATTTACTTTTTAAAGAATACTTGACTAAATATATATAAATTAAGAAAACATGAAAAAGGATTTTGTAAAAATTAAATGATGATTATGAAAGGAGAGCTTGTAAAAATTAAAGGATGATTATGATCACAACGTCATAAACCATTGGATTAGGCTAAAACTTTTACCAAGAATTTTTGAAATAGACTTGTGAGATTTACAATTGAAAGTTAATGTTAAGAGAAATAATTTTCGCATTTTAGTGTAAAAATTAGGTCTCCACATATTATTTAGTTTTGAGTTGTCTTGGTAAAAATTTTATTCCTGCTTTATTAACCGTTAGGTCGAGATAAAAAATTTATCCAAAGATCTTAAGAGATAGTACTTCATCTTGGTCATCAAGATTACCTTTAAGAGATATGTGATTAGAGAATTTTTCTTTTGTAATTTTAACTAAGATCACTTATTTGCTGTATTGAATTACTTTAGTAACAATTTGATTCTAAATTTATTGACGGTTATCGAATATGGATAATGCTTACCCGTTACCCGACCTATAGCAAAAAAATTTATTTGTTATCTACTCTCTACCTGCATAGATACTGATTTAAAAAATACTGATGAATATTTTAAAACCTGCAAATACACGTGGATATCCACGAATATTTTTTTAAAAATATTTTATAAATTTAAATAAAATTACAAAAAATAAATAATAATCAAGGATGTAAAATTTAAATAAAATAAAAAATGAAAAAATAATTGTAAAAATAAATAACTTTTATAATTATTACAAGTAATATTTTTATTTGATTATCAGTATTTCGAAAAGTAATTACTAAAATAATAAAATCGAAAAAATAATTTTTTATTATAAATAATTATTTGAATTCAAAAAAATTAAAATTAAAAAACAAAATTGTATATAGAAAAGTTAAAATTAAAAACAAAATTGTGTATAGAATATATTTTTTATTAATAGTATAGATAAAATTCAACTTTTAAGATTCAAATAGTGTCTATCAACTCGAGTTTCCCTCGGACACTTTTACTGTTATTAAGATCTAACTGTAGTAATAAAATTAGTTCATCTGAAAATAATGAAATCTTAGTTGAAATGTTTTAAAAGAGAATTATGAAAAAGTTATAAACACATTTACAACATGAAATATTTTATGTATTTCCCTATCACGCCAAGTAGCTTCTTTACGTCAAAACTAAACACGAGAAAAATATCATCCGATTTGAAAATTATCGGCACCAGAAAAAATATAACCCACTTGAACTCAACTTGTTCATACGCCGGACCTTCTAGACTCTTCCTTCAAACACGGTCTTTTTCCAATGATACCCTAAGAAACTCGTGCACGGCTTTTTATTTATAAACAAAGGGAAAATTAATCAAAAGAAAATCAAAAGAAAGGAAGAAGGAGAATGAAAATGCAATAAAAATGCAAACTTGGTATTTGAATAAGAATGTTTTAACGTTTAAGAAGACGATGAGGCCAAGGAAAGTTTGGTGGTTTAAGAAACAATAATTTTTAGCAAGTTAAGAAAAAAATAATAATAGATGAAGTGGGAAAGTTGGAGTTTGGGATAAAGAAATAAGATAATTGAGAAAACCAAGTCTCAAGGACAGTTGCAAGTTGAGGATCCACTTGCATACCCATTGCCTCCTACAATTCAATACTACCATATATCTATCTATTCTCTTTCTTTCTTTGTCACTTTCCCTCTCTTACACCAAAAACAACCATCAAAAGATAAAGGTAACCCCCTTTCTCTTTCTCTTTCTCTAACCACTCCAATTTCATTATTATGGTGTCATTATTGTTAACAAGATCATCATTTCTCATCTAATTCTAACATTATTTTTACTAAGTATGTCATTAATTTTCTTTTAATGTACACATAGTCTATGTGATTAGGAGTTTTAAATATTTAGGAAGATTAATGATTTAAGAAAAGAAACAAAAAGTACTCCAACTTGAACTAATATTAATTAACTTGAAACCTCACAAAGTAAGACTAGTCTCTCGTCTTCCTACATCTTTCAAATATATATATATATATATATGCTTGCTCTTGCAACAACAACCATTTGAGGAAAAACCCTTTTAACATAACATAAGCAAAGATCTTTGTTTGGTGGAGGGGGAGAAGAGAAATTAGGGAAACATATATCTATTACATGAACTACAAATGACTTGCCCTATACAACTCCACCGATTCAACCCTACAACCGATGCATCCACCGCCATAGCAAACGGCGTTAACTGTCCCAAGCCACCGCCGACGGCGCCGTCAACGCGACGTCTTTTGCCCAAAGGAAGCGTGCCGGAGGCGGCGGCGCGGCACCACACGCACGCAGTGGGGCCCGGCCAGGGCTGCTCCGTCGTGATTCAGGCGATCGAGGCGCCGGTCTCCGCCGTGTGGCCCGTGGTGCGACGCTTCGACAATCCGCAGGGGTACAAGCATTTCGTGAAGAGCTGCCACGTGGTCACCGGCGACGGCATTCGCGTTGGCGCGCTCCGCGAGGTGCGCGTGGTCTCCGGCCTCCCGGCCGTTTCGAGCACCGAGCGCCTCGAGATCCTTGACGATGAGCGGCACGTGATGAGCTTCAGCGTGATCGGCGGCGACCACCGCCTGAGGAACTATCGGTCTGTGACGACGCTCCACGGCGACGGTAACGGAGGCACGGTTGTGATCGAGTCCTACGTGGTTGACGTGCCGCCGGGTAACACTAAGGAGGAGACTTGCGTCTTCGTGGACACAATCGTACGGTGCAATCTGCAGTCCCTCGCTCAGATCGCTGAAAACATGGCAAGTCAACACTGAACAAACAAACTCTTTTTTTTTTTTTTTCTTTTCCCTTTTCCTTCATCGTTTATTTTTGTTTCGAATACGGCTTCGAATCACGTTCCGTTCCGTGTTTGAAATTGGTGCAAACCGACACCGTTAAGATTTGTTTTTGGAGAACTCAAGATCAGACTGCGATGATTGAAATGAATGTGACATATAATATATATATGATATATATTATATAGTTCCTTCGTTCTATCCATCTCTTCTTTTATTCATTTTTCATTCTACTGCCTCTTTTGTCTGATCGAGGACTGCGAGTGCTTCATTTGCACCGAATCTATGGTGTGCTCAATTTGTATTCAATTTTCATCTTCTTCCTGTAATGTAAATATCCTTTTTTTCATGTAGTAGAAGAGAATGATTCTAGTTGAATTTGATGAGATTATGTCATACACATGTGCTTATTTACCTTTTCATTTCAAATATAGCATGAAAACCTAACTCAAACTAAGTATACAAATATTTAACATGTTGTTAATGCTTAATAAGTGGTTCCTTCAATGCTTCAATTTCGAAAATAGGGTAATAGATATTCAATTAATGAGTTATCTATGTTTTAAACTGTTTTTTCTTGCCCGTTAAGACTTTCTGGTATACCATGTTGATTGTTCGATTAATTATAATAAAAATGACCTTACGAAGCATAA